GGTCCTCGTTGTGTTTGTGTCGTCTTGTCGTCGTTGTGGGTCATAAAACTGGACGATGTCCCAGGTGTGAACGAGTGAAACAGTGTGAATGTGTCGGGGGGGGTCGTGTCCTGGAACATAAAGTCTGAAGGAAAACAAGTCGAGCGCCAGAGAATGAGCAAATCTTGAAGTTTACTCCTGAACAATGAGCGAGGAGGAGGAGGAGGAGGAACCATGTGAAATACCAGAGAAGGAGGGAAGTGGGAGAAAAGGAGGAAGAGTGTGAAGGACTTTTAGAAAGAAAGGCTGCCGTGACTACTGGTGATTTATGGGTAATTAATCAGAGAGAGAGAGAGAGAGCAGTGCATGGTGGCAGGAGTGTGTGTGTGTGTGAGCGTGTGTGTGTGTGTGTGTGTGTGTGTGTGTGTGTGTGTGTGTGTGTGTGTTGATTCAGCCTCTGTTCTGAACAGCAACAGTTTTCTCATCCAGTGGTGTAATGATGCAATTAGTGAGGAGTTAACAAAGTGAATTAATTGTTATTGATGTGACTTTAAGAAAGAAAAGATTAAACTTAAACACACACACACACTCTCACACACACACACACACACACACACACACACACACACACACACACACACTCACACACACACACACACACACACACTCTCACACACACACACACACACACACACACACACACACTCTCACACACACTCTCACACACACACACACACACACACTCACACACACACACTCTCACACACACACACACACACACACTCTCACAGGTCGACTGTTAACTGTCACCTTGCACATTCTCAGCGTTCCTGACGTTCCTAATGTTAATCTTTATGGGACAGTCATGTAGACACTGGACTGTGTGTGTGTGTGTGTGTGTGTGTGTGTGTGTGTGTGTGTGTGTGAAATGTGGTGAAGCTGCAGGGTTTTTTCAAACTCTCTGCACAGTTAATGAAGTTAATGAAGTTTATGAAGTTAATGAAGGGCTCTGACAGATCACAGGGTTTTCAGGACGTGATTCTTCCTCCTTAAGTTTCTACACGTTCATTTTCAAGAGCTGGTTCTGAAGTTTAATTCAGAAACTTGTCACGAACAGTGAAGCCTGAGAGTTTTGAAACCATGATGTCACCTGATCTGTAAAGATGTCAGTCCTCAACCAATCACACGTCTTCACGTCCAATCTCCTCCGGCTGAGCTGCATCTGAAAACTTTGAGTCATGTGACGAGAGAAGAGGAAACATCTTGACCTCAGATCTGAGTCCAGGACTCTGGACTCTCTGGAGCGGTGTCGCCTCCTAGAGGAACGTTGTGAGACCTACAACCGTCCCTGTTAGTTTTCTGTGTTACTGACAAAGTTCAAGTTTTAGAAAAAGATCTCCTGAACTGTTCCTTCAGCTCACGTCTCCAGTTTTACACGAGAGGGTTCCTCACTGTGTCGTCAATAGATCACAGCTCGAACTCAGCGGAGGATGTTCTGTAGTTCTCACAACATAAATTCCCTCATTTCTAATTATTCCAGGATCTCGATCATTGACGTGTTTAAAAAATGTAAAGAGTTCAACTTCAAAGTTTAGAATAAAAAGTCAACAAAATAAAATTGATGTGTTTAAATGTAAAAATTATTAAAAATCTAAATCACATAAAAAAATAAACAAGATTAAGAAGTGGGCGTGGCTTCACGTGAAGACCCGCCTCTGTTCACTCTGATTGGGTAAGGTTTCGATAAAGAGGGCGGTGATTGGTTGGAGTTAAAGATTACGCCAATCAGACGCAGGGTTGGGGGAGGGGGTCTTCAGAACCAGCCAATTGGCTCTGTCTACAGCGGAAGCGGAAGTGCGGCGCTGTTGTTGTGTCTCCAGTGAAGTTCGGTGAAGATGGAGTTCAAACTCATCATGGCGGTCTCCAGGTTCCCGAGCCTCTACGACACCAACTCTCTGACCTACAGGGACCTGAACATGAGGAGCGACGCCTGGCGGCAGGTGGCGGAGATGGTCGGTGTCCCCGGTGAGTGTCCACAACGACAGGAACACAACAGGTACACAACAAGTACACAGCAAGTACACAACAAGTACACAACAAGAACACAATACACAACAGGTACACAACAAGTACACAACAAGAACACAAGTACACGACAGGTACACAACAAGTA